ATTGTTATACTCCACAAATGAGGGAAATCATTTGGTACTTGTCTTTCTCCGCCTGGCTTATTTCACTAAGCATGATACCCTCTAGCTCCATCCATGTTGTTGCAAATGGTAGGATTTGTTTCTTTCTTATGGCTGAATAATATTCCATTGTGCATATGTACCACATCTTCTTTATATGATGAACTTCATTTAAATGGTGAACTAAGTGGCTATGGGAGACAGATGTGGCTGTAGGTACGGGAGAGCTGGCAGGTAAGGAGACCCCTGGGTCACTGCGTCAGAGTAAATAGGAACCAATACATAACAGAAACACGAGAAAACAATACTAAATTTGCTTTGTCCCTCACAGTCTGTGGTTAAGAAGACTTGTTTTAATGCCCCTGTTCCAAAACATTCCTTCCTTAGAAAATATATGTTATTTAAATAAGTATCAACTCTCATTTCTTAAAGCTAGAGGCGGATCCGTGCAGGGCAGTGCAAGCAGCTGATTGGTGCTCAGTTCTGGTTTAGGTGAATCTGTGTCCTGTCCAACAGTAAGAATCCTTAATGCCACATCCAGGTTTTCCTTTTAAAAGATTAGAGTTCATTCCTTCTTCAAACATCTCAGCTTGCTTTCGGAGCTAGTATCTGCAGGCAGCTTTCACAGGTGGGATCTCACAAATTAACCTCTCTTGGTTCATTTCTAACCATGGAGAAGGTTGGACACTAAAAACAAAAAGGTTTCATTTCTTTAAGCTTAAAGGACGTGAAACCCAGATACATCCTCGAACTTTGGGTGTTGTCAGGACAAAGAGCCCCATTAAATCACTCACAGACCATTCTTCCTGTGAAGAGTCACAGAAACCCAGGATGTGTTGTTATTGGTTTTTTAATGAACAAACATTTACCTCCAGCCAAATGTCAGCCACGTCATGCACAATCATCACGAGGGTCCCACTGCGAATGTAATTAGCACACCAAGAGAAGCTCATCAAACTAATAGCAGCCAGGTGGTGGATGACATTAGCTAGAAAATCCTATACAATGAGGGAAAAATGGAAACCATTAAGCAAATGCATTTATTTCCCAACCAGTGGAAGACCTAATGAGGATAATAATATTTTTAGAAACCCATACCTTACCTCTGCATGTTTTCAAATTTGCAAAATGCTTTCACTTTAATTCTTAAACACAGCCCTTGTGAGGGAGGTAAGGCAAGTATTATCCCCACTGTTAAAGTCACTTAATTTTGACAACACTAAATAGCTGTCATCTAAGTCCTAATGTCTGCTGTTCTTTATACTATCCCATACTGGATATATGTACACGCACTTACACACTCACTCCATATATCTACACACACAAGCATGTTCCTGTGTACATTTACACTTATTATTTCCTAATTCCAAAAAGGGGAAAAAAGGCAAAAATACAATATAATAAAACTACATGACCAATAACAAAGAGTTACTTTATATGAAATAAGTAACAAATGAAAGTAGAATAACATATAAGCAAAGCTGGGCTGAGGAAAACTACCACAAAATGTTTCCTGCAAAGAAGATACACAAATGGCCAATAAACACATGGAAGGATGCTCAACCTCATCAGCCATCAGCAAAATGCAAATCAAAAACATAATGTGATACTATTTTACACTACTAGGATGACTACAATGAAAAAGAGGAACAATAGCAAGTGCTGGCAACAACGTGGAAAAACCAGACCCTTACACAATGCTGATAGGAATGTAAAACTGTGTTAGGCTGTTCTATAGAAGTCTGGCGATTCCCCAAAAGGTTAAACATAGAATTACCACATAGCCCAGAAATTCCACTCTTAGGTATTTACCTGAGAGAAATGAAAACATATGTCCATGCTAAAAACTTATAATAAATGTTCATAGTAGCATTATTCATAATAGTCTAAAAGGGAAACAATCCAAATATTCATTAAGTGATAAATGGACATATAAAATATTCCAGTAGTGTATTCATACAATGGACTATTATTCCCCAATGAGAAGGAATGACAATGCTTCAACATGAATGAACCTTGGAAACATTATGCTAAATGAAAGAGCCAGACACACACACACACAAAAAAAAAACCACACATATTGTGTGAGTCCACTTATATGTAATGTCCAGAAGAGACAAATCCGTAGAGACAGAAAGTAGATCAACAGCTGCCTAAGGGCAGGGGCGGTTGGGAGAAATGGGGAGTGACTGCTAAAATATACAGGACTTCTTTTTTTTTTTTTTTTGAGAGGGCATCTCTCATATTTATTGATCAAATGGTTGTTAACAACAATAAAATTCTGTATAGGGGACTCAATGCTCAATGCACAATCATTAATCCACCCCAAGCCTAATTCTCCTCAGCAGGACTTCTTTTTGGGTGATGAAAATGTTCTAAAGTTGATTCTGGTGATTGCACAACTCTGTGGATACACTCAAAACCACTGACTTATCACACTTTAGATGGATGAATTGTATAGTATGGGAATATAACAATAAAGATGTTTAAAAAAGCTTGAAGGTTTTAGTTTCCTTGTAGCCAAAGTAAGAGTGAATATAATACAGATATTAACAGCTGAATTTATTGAGCACTTACTGTATACCCAGAAGTACTTTATATGGATTAACTTGCTTAATCTTCACAACCACCAGAGGAGATAGGAACTATTTTTAGCTACTTTTTATAGATGAGGAAATCAAGTTTGGGAAGTTTAACTAACTAGCTCAAGATGTTAGTACGTGGTGAAGCTGGGGATTCAGACCCAGGCATTCTGACTTCAGAGACTGTGCTATCCCACTCCCAATAGTTTTATGTCTCTGAAGATATGTACTTAGAAAACATATGACATATATATGCATATAGTTTTTGAAAAGGTGCTCAATGTATCTTTATATAATAGATATCAATGCCTGAAGAATCAAAGATGGGAGAAAGACAAGGCCATAACAAGATCAACCTGCCTGAGTATATCTATGAAGACCTTTTGAAAAGTGATTATTTTCTATTCAATTCCTTCAAAAAAAGAGTCAATCAATTAAATTCTAATTTTTTTAGTGTAAACTACAGTTAATAGCAGTTAATCTATGGCTATTATTGAGTTTAATGGAAAAGGAGGTCATTTCTACCAGATGTTTTCAAAGTATATTCTTATAATTATTTATATTCTATAAATTTTCTTTAAAGCTCTCCAAATGACTTCAGCTAATTGGGCCCCCCAGTAATAGATAAGGTACACTATCACTCACTCAAATATTATTTAGTCAAGCCAATTTGGTTTTACCTCCTTAACAATGAATTCAATTTAATTTTATTTATCATATACATTGTGCTACAAACCTTTTATGCATGGAACATACGAAGTATATTGCTAACATATATCTTGTGACTGTATTGGGAATCTAATACAGTTTTCTGTGTCAACAAACAGGAATCAATAGCAACTAGACAGTTTCTAAAATGCCTCACCTTGTGACCTCAAAAATTTCATTTAGCATGCCTGTGACTTAGTTTCCCTGCAAATGAAACAAAGCTAATAATACTGAAGCAAAGTTTCCTTAAAAGGATCTTGGATGAATTAAGGAAAAAAATGTTTCAAAGTCTTTGAATACATCAAGAGTTTTATAAAGTAGTTTGTAATCACCTAAAATGTATGGTTACAGAATTAAAACTACCAGCACTTTTCTTCTTTGCACTGAGCAACATTAAATTCAAAACCAAAAGATATAGACAATATAAAGAGAGTTCTTCTCTTATTGAACAAGGGTAGAACTTCAAAGTCAAACTTTCTATAATATTTCACTGTGATAACTTACCAAGGCATCAAAGTATGAGCATAATTTGCACTATTCTATGTACTATCAAAACAAAAAGGCTATGAATTGAAGCCAAACACACATAAAAAAACAATTTAAAGTTTAGGATTTGGGGCAGGCAGGGGGACAAAAATTTTGGAAGAAAAAATGGATAAAGTAGTTTTTTAAATAAGACACTTACCTTCCTTTTAACATCAGAGCCAAGGCTAAACAAGAGAGACCAATAAAAACTCATCTCCAAAATGTAGTACCAGTATTGGGATGGCAGCAAGGCCTGAGGAAAATGAAAGTATTCATGACTTTAATGTCACCATATAGACAGCTCATTTTAAGGCATCAAAACTATTGATTATATCTATTTATATTCTCCCAAATACTGATGCTTCACATTTCAACTTCTGAGAAGGAATTGGAGATAATATTTTGAGGCATTTTATTTCTAAAAGAGTAGACAAGAATTCCAAAATCAAGTTAAATGTGATCAACATATTAGCTTTATTAGACTTGGACTCTAAAATAACTTTAAAAACTTGGTTAAAAGGTGGACATTTTCAGGAAAGAATTGGAGTCCATAAGAAAAAAAGAATTAAATGAAAATTTGAGAACTGAAAAATAATATATAACTATAATATAATATAGTATATAAATATAATAACTGTAACTGAGAACTGAAGATGTGTTTAACAGCCAATTAGACACTGCTGAAGAAAGCACTCATGAACTGGAGGACATGAAAGTAGGAAATATCCAGAATCATGTAAGGTCACAGATTTTACCCTGCTTGCAAGTGAGCTTGCCACAGTTTTATGGATGCTGTGAGACCCCTGGGTCAGAGGTAAAGGATAGTTTATTTTGCCAGAGTATCAATATTTTGGTCAGTTCTTCTATCCCAATTCCCATAGGCCTAAGCAAAAAGAGTCAGATGACATCTGCACATGCAGCAGGTTGTGTTACAAGAGAGGAACACGGAGCTAGGAAACTTGAATCTTTCATAATGGACAGTAATATGCCTATACTCTGCTCCAGGAGGAGACATTACCTTCATCTTCCCAAGTTGTTTGCTATACATATATCCTGGAAAAAATAGTAAAGAATGAAGAGCAAGCAGTGATTCACTTTATATGATATGCAGAAATGCAAAACCTATGGAGAGTTGTCTCCCAATAGACTTAAAAATAGAGAAGCAAGAAGACGGAAAATACTGGAACAGGCATGAGATACATAAGGGACCTAGCATAAAGATCTAGCATATTAGCACACCTGTAATTGGAATTCCATGAAGAGAACAAAGAAAGGAAGGAACAGAAGCAATGGCTAGGAATGTTCCAAAACTGGCTGATGATATGACTCCAAAGATTCAAGAAGTACTGTGGATACTAAGCAGGATAGACTAAAGGCAAAACACTTTTATGCTTATTACAATAAAACTGCTGAAAGACAAAGACAAAATATTAAAATTAATCAGGGAAAAGAGACATTCTATTCAAAGAAAACTGAGAACTGAATTCTTAAGGATACTGATGGAATCCAAAAGATGACTTTTTAAAGTGCTGAAGGAAAATGATTGATAACCTAGAATTCTACACAAATTATCCTTTTAAAGTATCCTGCACAAATATCCCTTTAAAAGTGAAGGCAAAGTGATAATATTTCAAACAAGCAAACCAAAGGTACTCCTTCAGATATAAGGATTATAATCCCAGATGGAAGTATGGAAATGGAGGACACAAGAAATAAACAAACCAAAGGTACTCCTTCAGATATAAGGATTATAATCCCAGATGGAAGTATGGAAATGGAGGACACAAGAAATAACATAGAAAGGGGGATTTAGCTGATTTATATAACAATAATAATAATAATGACTTGTAGGATTTCAATATTTGAAGAAGGAGATAGGACGTAGGTATATGTAATATTCTAATGACCTTTCAGTGCCTATAAAAAGTAAGAGCACAGATTTTTATTAGACTCCAGTAATTCAAGGATGCATGAAGAGCTAATGTAAAGGAAAAATGGAATGATAATTTTTTAAAAACTTGATTGTCCCATAAAAAGTAAGAAGGGACTACAACAAAGGCAAATGCACCAGAAGGTACAAAGAAAAAATAAATAGTAAGGTGGTAGATTTAAAGTCAAATACATAGGTACATTAACCATAAACAAACTAAAGGAATCAGACAAGTGATGGGTAATATATAAGGATTAAGGATGCAATGCGTAAGCTCTGGTAGAAGAAAGACCAAAGGATGCATAGAAATGGACAAAGAGAGGGAAAGGGACTCAGACCTGAGGGGGCGAGGTGAGGGGCTGACCCTGGAGTAAGGGAAAGACTGTATCAAAAGGGACTCACATGCCTGGGGTAGTCGTTCCACACTTCCCATAGGTCATACACCCAAGGTTTCTGAAAAAACGAAGAACCAAAGGAGAAAAAATGTTTGTCAGAGTTAAAGGTTTATTTCAGCAGGAAACATTACCTCTTCCTGATGTCATTTATGGGTGCACGTGCACAGTAAAACACACTTTTGTCATGTTTCTGTTGCTCCTGTGCATGTCTCCCCATCTGTCAGTATTTACACATGTTCCTATTCAACATGCCTGTGACATCCACAACTTCTAGAGAATTTGCAACCAGTGCTGTCTCATGGAGAACATCATTTCAAACAAGTGAGTCTTCTAAGGAAATCATTTCTGAACCAATTAGATTACTGCTTCTGTCACAGTAAAAATATTTTGCGACATCTGTCGCAATAAAATCTCTTTAGAGAAATCTTGAGAGAATCTTAAGAGAAATCTCCAAAAGCTGGTTATCTTTTTTCTTTTTTCCTGTGAACAATTTACTGTTAAGTTTATACGCCAAAAGGTATTCATTTAATGATTATTTAAACAGCTCAAAGGTAAGGAGAGATTTGATTTCAGATGGGTGAGTAGTGGAAGTCTTCATGAGACAAGTGGCATTTGACAGGTAGAGACAGAAATGAGAAGGGTGAGGCATTTCTGGTGGAGAGAATAAAGATGTGTTGAAATCCAAGTGAGGATGTGCCAGGTACGTTCAGTGGAGTGTCAGTAGTCCAGGGTAGTTGGTGTATGGGTTGCATAAGTAGAAATATGGAGAGAGTAGGTTTAAAAATTCACGTTGCCGATGCAAAGCTTAGCAAAGGTTTTGAAGGACAGACTGAGGAATTGCTACTTCTCTAGGCATTAGAGAGATTAAAAGTTGAAAAGCTGGTTATTTATGAAAAGTATTAAATCCTAAGCAATTTGCAAGCAACACTTTGAAAAACTGAAGACAAATTCAAGTCAAAGATATCAAAAGGACAACTTACATCATAAAGAAATGCAATTCCAGCAACAGTAATCATTAAGTAAAATGTAAATCGCCAACTGCCAAAAACAAGAAAAGTCTTGTAAAGGTGACTGACATCTGAGGAGAAAAACATTTAGTATGACAGACTTTGGAAAGAATGCACATTCTGGAGGCAGACAAATAAATCTAAGTTGATATCCTGACTTACCCCTTGTTAGATGGCTACAACTAGGTTAAGTCATTTGACCACAGGGAACCTTAATTTCTTCATCTATAAAATGGAAATAACAACACTGACCTCAAAATGTAAAAAGAACTGAAGATGATTTGTGCAAAGTATTGGTCATAATGTCAAGTAGGAAGTAAGCAACATTAAGTGGTAGCTGTTATTACTGTTGTCATGCCTAGCCCAGTTCCTGACACACAATAAATGATGCTTTGATATTAGTGTTATCCAATTTATTTGATCTCCACTCAATTCCCAGTGAAAAGGTTTCTATGTGGCCAGACTTTAGTCTTGACTCTGAAAAGTAGATTTTGAGAGAGTCTTTTTCTCAGGGATGAAGAAAGACCTGTAGATTAAGATATTTAAAAGACGTATCAACCAATTGTAACACATTGGTCTTATTTAGATCCTGATTCAAATAAACAAACTGCAAAGAAAATTATTAGACAATCAAGGAAATCTGAACACTGAATATCTGCTGCTATTAAATGATTTTTTTAGGTGTGATACTGGTATTACAGTTATGTGTAAAATAGTCATAACCTTTTAGAGGTACATACTAAAGTACTTACAAGGAAATCAGACAGTGTCTGATATTTGTTTCAAAAGTAATCTTCAGTAATAATTGGATGAAGGTTGTCAAAAGGTATAATAATTTCCAGTTATGGGATAAGTAAATCCTGGGGATATAATGTACACCGTGATGACTATAGTTAACACTGCTATATGGTATACTTGAAAATTGTTAAAGAAATAGATCCTAGAAGTTCCCATCACAGAGAAAACAGCATTTTTTTCTTTTTGTATCTACATGAGATAGCGGGTGTTACTGTGGCAATCATTTCACAATATGCAAGTCAGGTCACTAAGCCATACACCTTAAACAGTGCTGTATGCCTGTTATATCTCAATAAAACTGAAAAAAAAGTTATCCACCAAAAAAGAAAAACCTTTGGTGGGGGTGAGAGAAGCAGGCAGGGGCATAGACGACACAGAATTGCCTTGCATTGGTAATTATTAAAGTTGGCCAGTGAGTACCTAGCAGACATAGTCATTATATGAGTCTTTCTCCTTTTGTATATATTCATGACTTTGCAGAGTAAAGCTTTCTTTAAAAACTACTGTTTTATTTAACAATTGCTGAGACAACAATAACAATATTAAGAACAATACCTGTTCCTTACACTTGTATAATGCCTCATAATGTTTTCCTCAACATGCCTGTAAGCGAAGAAAGAGGAATCTGGCATATACCCATTTTGTAGTCAGACTCATGAAGGCTAGGCTGTTTCTCCAGCTCACACAGCTCAGAAGCAATCCAGCTGAGGGTGAAATGCAGGTCTTTGCATTCTGACTCCAGCAGTGTGTCCTCAACGCTGTCACTGCCTGTCAGCTAGATGAGAGTTTTTCTTTGTGGCTTGTTTTGGTAGGGGGAAAATTGTTCAGAAATTTGAACCATAGAAACACCCAAGCAGCATTTTAAAAAATGAGTGAGTGAGACTTGCCCATACTTGTTTTATTCACGGCTGGTCCAGCAAAGGCCTACATTAGATGCAGAAGGCGTTTCCTTGGCTCCTTGGATTATCTCAGCCAAACAAGAAGCATGAAAAATAGGAGGTGATAAGGCCTGTCATCCACAAAGGACACCGGAAGTCTAGGTGGCACACCACGTATTATTTGTTTCTCCAACATGTATTGCCCTTGACTCCATGCTGGGCATTGCGCTAAGCACACATGTGCTACCATATTGTAATCCTCACAACAAGCTTATGAAGTAGGCAATAGAATTGGCCCCGCTTCAGGGTCCCTTGCTCAACTCTCACAAAGACCCTTAAAGGTAGGTAAGCTGATGACTACTGAAGGACACAGAGGCTGAGAGATACACCCAGGCTGAACAGGAACACCCAGATGCAAGCGGGAAAGCCCAGCCCCACGTGTGACTAGCCGGTCCTATCAGGTTCCATTCCAACTAACCAGGGTCCCAAAGCATGTGCCAAGGGTCCCTAACATCAAACTCTGTTCATCAGATGACTGAAATGTCATTTGCTGTTTCATTTTCACTGCCTCACAAGCCTACAGTGGAGATTCCAGAGATTCATGACACATGACGCCACCACTATTCTGACAGGTGATGGAACATGCCCTTGTGTGGTGCTGTTTTAGAAATGTTTAAATCTTAATTTCTACTACAGTAAGTATCAGTAGGTATAACATGCACAAGCAAACGCCCTTTAGGGTGTTTAATAGTTTAAAAGAGAATAAAGGGGTCCTGACAAACCAAACAGTTTGAGAGCTGCTGCACTTCACTAACATGAATGGTGATGTACTTGTCAATGCTGTTTTACTCACTTCAAATAAATCTAAGATAGTAAGAATTCCTTTTTCTCCAGGAAAGGGTGAGACAAACATAACTGTGAGAGGAGAAAAACCCAGAAATTGATTGGTTTGGCTCAAATGGTAATAGTGAAAGAAGATGAGACTGCAAGGTGAGGTCCAGGAGGAACTGGACACTCAACTCAGGCCAGACTTGAAAGAAAGTGACAGAGTCAGACATGGGGGTCAGCACTGCATGTGGCTGAGCAGAGCAGGCAGAGGGGTAAGGGGGCACAATGCCCCCAGCACTGGGGGGGGCATCCCTGCCTAAACACATCAGGTACTTGGAAACCACCAAGTATTTTTATAATAAACTTCTCACTACTAGATGAAAATGCTCATTTTAAAAAGAAAAGTGGTCAGCTAAAGGCATTTGATTTTCAAATAAAGGATCTGCTATGGATTGAAGTCCTGAATGCTGTGGAACAGGGCATAGGGATCATTGCTAAAGGAAGTGACTGAGTACAACAGCCAAGATATGGAGGCAACCCAAGGGCCCATCGATGGACGAATGGGTAAAGAAGATATGGTACGCATATACAAAGGAATACTACTCAGCTATAAAAAGGAAGGGGATCTTGCCATTTGTGACAACATGGATGGACCTTGAGGGCATGATACTAGAGAAACAAGGCAGAAAAAGAAAGACAAATACCATATGATCTCACTTATATGTGGAATCTAAACAACAAAGCAAACAAACAAATAACACAAAACAGAACAAGATTCATAGCTTCAGAGAACATCTGGTATTTGCCAGGTACAGGTGGTTGCCAGAAGGGAAGGAGGTGGGGGATGGACAAATTAGGAGAAGGGGATTAAAAGGCACAAACTTCCAGTTATAAAATAAATAAGACATTGGGATGCAACACACAGCATACGGACTATAGTCAAATATTGTAGCGACTTTATATGCTGACACACGGTAGCTGGATTTATTGTGGTGATCACTTTGTAACATATATAAATGTTATCACTTTGTTGTATACCTGAAACTAATAATATTGCATATTAACTATACATGAATTAAAAAAAGAAAGTAACAAAGGAAACAATTCACTGAATTTAAGGTGTTCACAGGAGAATCCATCCTGATATTATAGAGGAATTTCTACCTGTTGGAGAGTAATTTGTAAATGCTCAGAGTTGGGAAAAAAATTTTCTGAGATTTCCAAAGTGCCTGGGGCTACATAACTCTAGCTATGATTCCAGTAGTACATCCCATAGCTGATGTAATAAAGTGTAGGCCCTATACAATTAAATAGCTTAGCAATTTGCTTTAGTCTATTTATTTAGCCCATAATAACTTTTAACAGTTATCTGATTTCCAGGAAATTTGTGAGTGCTAAAGAATAACATAAAAATTTAATTTTATATGTGGGTCCCTCTTATTTCTTGAATACATTGTATAATGTCCAGCTTTGAGCCTTTGCCTCACCTGAAAAATGCGGGCCTCAAATCCTGCATTCTTTTCTTACAGAAATCCCAGCCCATCCTCAAGGTGCAGCAAGGTCTGACCTCCTCTAAAAAGCCATTCTGTAGTGTATCCAGCCCTACTGATGCCATCTCCTCTGGATGCCCACTTGTAAACACAACCATGGACTACAGGTGCACAGGCCTGTGCGCCACTGGGTGGAATAACATGTGGTTTCACAAGTGAAAGTCTCGTCTCCTTGATTAGCTGTTTAAGGCTAGTGACTGTGCCTTTCACTTTTATCGTCCTTTTAGAACCAGACTGCCCGTGCTCTAGCACAGTGCCACTATCCTCTGGAGAAGATGGTCGACACATCCCTTCACGTTCCCTGGCTGATAGTGGCCGCTCCAGATTCCTGAACTCTGTGGCCGACTTTCAGTGATTCACTGACAGGCATATCCCCAAAGGTTGGGCTCTGTTGACCCAAACAGTGAATTGATACAGGTGGCTCCTGCTTGTTAAGAGGTAAGCGTTAGGGGGCAGGGGGGCAGGACAATGGAGCAGAAAGAGAACCAGAAAAGGGGACAGAACACCTGAGTGCAGTAACCCTGACAATAGCTAGATGACACTGAGCAAGTTCCTTAAACTAGATGGCTTGAACTAGTAGTTTCTTATTTTTTTCCTCCAGTTTGTTTGAGATGTAGTTGACATACAGCACAGTGTAAGTGTAATCATTTCTCATTTCTTACAAAGGGCTTGCTCTTTCTTCTCTGTCTCATGCCATTGGTGGGAGGGTCAAATATTTATAAACTATAAAGCACTAGAATGTATAAGAAATAAGCAGAGAATTTCACTGGAGTATGATTTAGTTCAAAAGTGGAGAATTAGTCCCTGCCCAGGGACTTTATTTAAGATAAGAATTACTTGCTAGAAAGAATGAATGAAGG